GAGGCCACTGCCGGGGCAGGCAGGACTGCCGGTAGCTCCGCAGCCCCGCTCCGGCCGGCCCGCTGGGGCGGCGGGCCCTGGGAAAGGGGCCGGCAGGGTTTGCTCACTGCCCTCGGATGCAGGACATCCAGGGCGAGACGCACGGGAATGCTCCCAGGTATCCCTTAGAGACCTCCTGTGGCGGCCTCGGAGTGTTTCAGCCTCCTCCAAAGGAGTGGAGGGCAAGGATCCGCTTGGTGATAGCCCTGCTAACACCAGGCACACTGGTGGGCTCCTGAGAGCCCCCGGAAAGGGAAGCTGACATGAGGGCTCCCAGGGGTTCCCAGCGGACACCTTGTCCTCTCGTTCTCCTTCCCACCGCCGCTGTAGCGCGGGGCTGCCGAAGTGGGTTATCACCTGGGAAATTAGGGAGTGAAACCTAACTGCCTCTGCGGGAATCGGGAAAACACAAGGAAAAAAAAAAAATAAAAGAGAGAGAGAGAAGGAAAAAAAAAAGGAGGGAAATTATAGGTCTCAAATTTTCCTTAATTTATCTGCCTAGGCTTCCAAGTAGGAGGGAAAACTAGCCCTTATCTTTTTTTGCGAAAGAAATTTCTGTGCATTCCCGATCGGAACCACATCTCTCCACTGCCAAGCAGCTCTCTTCCCACTATGTTCACATTAGGTATGATGTTCATAATAATAACAACAACCCCGAGAATTATGAGACAAGAGCACGTTTGACAGTGTTTGAGAAATTCAAATACAGCTGCATCGGCTTTGTCTCTGGTTCAGTCACATTTATTTCCCTAAGCTAGGCAGACAGCTTGAGTGAAGCATGACAATGAGGTTTGTAAATAGCAAATGGAAGGGTTTGCTGGGTTGTTGGGTTTATGTTGGTTTTTTTTTTTCTTCCTCCCCTCCCTGTTTGATTTTACTCTCAATCCAAATAACCTTCCTCAGTGAATGTTTCAGACAAGAGAATGTGAGCGGGAGGGGACGAGGGGGGCTTATAATTGCAGGTTCCCTTTGGAGCTGGAATTAAAACGCTGACGGCGTGTGTTGCACAGGAAAGGTGCAGAGGCAGACTCCGCTCTGACTGCAGGACGGCTGTGTTGTCACTGCCATGGCGTTTATTTACAGCCAAGCACTTGAGAGCAAACGACGCTTCAAAAGCGCCAGAGCTGGGGGCCCTACTCTCTATGCCGAGATGCCAGGAGCACCCCAGGCGGGAGAGGGACCCAGGCCCAGAAACCGGCTCCCTCCGCCGGGACCCCGCAGCCGCCCAAGCAGCGCCCCGGGACCGGCGCTGCCTCTGGGCAAATTCACATTCGCACCCTTCCTGCGCGACCCCAAGCGGGGCTGAGGGTAGGGGGGAGATCGGCTGGAAATGGCTCTTAGAGGGAATAGGTGAACATTAGGACAGCTAATTTCGATCGGTTACTCATGCCAGGTTCAAGTGCCCTGTGCTTGGCACTGCTCACAGACCTGTACCTCAACGAAAGCGCTCAGGATAGAATGAAATTAATAATTTCTTTTCCTTGCACCAGAATTCTCTCCCTTATGCAAGTCAGGTCGTCACTTCTACAGACCTCTTCTGCTTTCTCTGGGTGAGAAATGTATTCCTGTCTTTTATCAAGCTCTTACTCTCACCATCCCCGCAGCGCAGTCTCAGGAGAAAAAAAAAAAAAACAAAAACAAAAACAACAAAACAAGCCAACAACCACCCAATTTACTTCAACTATTTAGACCAGTTAAAATAAATTTGCAAAAATGTCTGCAGCTCTTCAAAACTTTCCCTGCTTCCTTATCAAAGCCATCTTCCCAGTGGAAGAATTGGGACAGCTTGTTTATTTGTTTTGGGTTGTCTCAAAACTCTCTCAGTCTGTCACTTGTTATTGCCTAGTGTGCCCGTCTCCTCACGGCCGGCCTCCCCGGGAGATGCTGTGCTGCTGGCAGCTGGATCCGAGCTCAGAACTTCACCTGATGTACAAATAACCCCCAAAGTTTCCCGCAGAGACTATTGTGCTTTGCTAAGTTTTACTGAACATACCAGTAACTATTTTTCTTGAGCTCTTTTTAGGCACAGCGGCTTCAGCGAAAGCCTTTTCTTGTGGCTGCCATTGCAGACTCTATTCATGAAGAAGGGCAGGAGACGGAGGTCGGAATCCTTGTCTTTTTCTGGAAGGGCAGGAGGGAGGAACGAGCGGATAAGCTTTGTCGCTTCGGGAAGCTCGTCGCGAAGCGGGAGAAGCCTGTCCCTGCTCCCCGTACGGCAAGGAACGAGACTGCAATAATAGAATACAAACATGTGTTTTGTTTTCCATTAAGTCGATAGACCAGACAAGGTCTGTCCCGGGGAAAAGATGACTTGAGCTGTTAATGAGAGCTGACACTAGGATTTAAATAGTGAAGGCTCCTTTCGCTAGCGGTGTCTCCGCAATATTGCTTTTTTTTTTTTTTTTTTTTCTCTCTCCCCTCTTCTTCTTCACAGGTCTGGGAGGTGCCCCAGCAGTGCGCCCAGGGACGATGCCTTCCAGCGGGGACATCTCTCTGGGTGAGGGTGGCAGGAACTGCCACTCCCGCGCGTCTGCTTTTTTTTCACGGAGCTCCTTTGGAGGCGAAAGGAGGGAGACGAAATTGATTATAATTCTTTTCTCGGTGTCCCGTGTACGTAACTGGAAAACTGACCCATTTTGAACTGGTCCCAACACTGCACCGAGAACTTGAGGGCGTTTGAGGGGGAGCAAAGCGGGGGCTGACGCCTGACGGCGCGGCTGGCGCGGACGGGCCGGGGGTGCGGGAGCAGGGCCCTGTCCCCGGCTCTGCCTGTCCCCGGCTCTGCCTGTCCCCGGCTCTGCCTGTCCCCGGCTCTGCCTGTCCCCTGGATCTGCCGGTCCCCCAGCTCTGCCTGTCCCCAGAGCCGGGTTCTGGCGGCCCGTGGCCACTAGATGT